ATGATGACCAATTGTAACATGTACTGTTTGCACCACATCAAATAGTTCGTCCATAATATTTGATTATACCATCTTCTGATGAATTACGCATAAAGTGTACTCGTACTTATTCATAAATCTTAAACATATAAATCTTTCTCACTCACAATCAACGCTACAAACTTGAACACAATGATGATTTCGCCTATATCAGCTGCTTCGATTATGAAAAAATGTAAACCTGTTAAGAAGAAAACCGAAATATGTTCATCAATAACAACTACAACACCGGCTCCGGTCACATGTTCTTCAACAGCAACAACAACGGTTATTGATATGGCAAAATGGAAAAATGAATTTAACGATGAAATTTTGACATCCAAAAATGATCCACTATTGATACTACACTATTAATGATCCACTACAACAAATAATCCACTATTCACATGAGAACGTTATGATGAAACAATTGAATTAATAAATGATGCAAAATTAAAACGCTATAGTGATAGAAATGAACAAGAAATAGCACTCTTGGAAACATACGACGTAATTAATGTTGGCGGTCAGCAGAAATTAGCAAAAAGATTAATTCATCAGAAGATGGTATAATTAAATATTATGTTTCATTGGACGAACTATTTGATGTGGTGCAAACAGCTCATGTTACAATTGGTCATCGTGGTATTACAATGTAATTAGAATATTCGGGGCTCCGGTTATTTCACACTCAGATAATGGTCGCGAGCTTGTGACAAAAGTTATTGAAGAACCAGCTGGAATGTGGAAAGATCTTAAAATCGTACATGGAAGAGCTCGTCATCCACAATTACAACGATCAATAGAACGTTGTAATCAACACATAAAACAATTGATAGGTATGTTAACTAAAAGGGAGGGATACCGTTATTTATGGCTCTTTTCATAAACTTACGAACGTGGATTCGTTAAAAATAGCTATAAAAAATGGTCACAAGGTCTACGATTTGTACAGTTTCAGAAACATTCTTGTCATCATTGTGTGCTGAAACACAGTCCATATTCAGTTTTATCCGGTCATGAACCAAAAATTGGTTTAACATCAACATCCTTACATCCATCTATATTCGATAGTATAACAACAGAAGAAGAACTAGAAAAGGAATTAGACATACCAGCAGTTGTCGATCAAGATACAATTGATGAAGGCGAAAGTAGTCATGAAACAGAAGGAAAAGGCTCAAAGAATGATGATGAAGAAAGTAGTGGTGAACAAGATGGTCAAGATTTAGATATGAGTTCACTTAATGATTGAATTCAACGAACGAATCCATTACAAAATACATTTAAAAAACAAAAGCTATTGTATACTTTATTGAATTTTATAAATATTCTCATTAATTGATAAAACGCAATAAGCTGCTAAACATAAGACGTTAATAAATTGAAAGTTTGATGATTGATTACTTGCAGATGTTCAGCAAAACAGACAAGCCTCCAGATCCTTTGTTGACCACTGCCAGATCCAATTTCTTATCGTTGTTGAAATCACCTGCTATGACAGATTGTGGGTTGCTACCAACCGTATAGTTCATTTGAGTCTGAAAAATCCCATCCCCTTTGCCCAGCAGCACACTGACGGTATTGTCGACCGAGTTAGTCGCTGCCAGATCCAGTTTGTGATCATTGTTGAAATCAC